GAGCCCCATTTCTGCATTCTGTTCCCAACTTCAACTTTGCCCCAAACAGGATTAAAGCACAGGGGAAAACAAACGGACCCCCGAGGGGACACCAAACTTCGCAAATGGAACAACACTTCGCTATTAAAGAGAACGAAGAGTGTGGAACAGAACGATGAGTGTGGTACAGGTCGATGAGTGCATGCATCGTCTGATCCAACAGCTGAGGCAAGACCGCAATCGCGAAAAGTATGGGTACTGGAAAGTCGCGCACACCTACAACACAGGCGTCAAACAACGGGGGGCAGATTCCCATGGCACGTTGGCACCAACTGCCACCGAGTTGCGGTCTGCACGGCAAGTGCCCTGCAAGCGCGGGTGGTCTTCTGCAATACGTCAAAGGCTGATTGGATTAAAACACCTTGAACCAAGTTGAATGTTTAGCCCTTTTGTGGCTGGTTTCCCTTACCGTATTTGATGTTTCAACCCATGAACAAGGCATTATTAGGGGTTCGTTTATGAATTTGTGTATTCTTGACTGTGTGATGGTCGGTCTTCACCATGCGCATGGCTCCCATGCAACAGGTGCTCAAGCCACGCATCCTATTCAGGGTGTTTCTCCTTAATCTTGATAATGCAATTTAACACGCGTGCGTTAGTTTCCCCTTTCAATGGCAAACTGTATTAATAAGCCAAAACACATGGAGCCTGAAGGGGACCTTTAGTGTGGTGCCATGTTAAATTGGTGTGTTGAGGAAGCATGACCTGTTTAACAGGTAGGTTGCAAGTATTCCGGCCAAGGAAGCAGCTGGCGGGAGGGGGGCCGGCCTGTCTTCCTCGAATTTGGCACAGCAGCAGCTGGTTGCGCCGCCCATGGCAGGAAACTCGACAGAACTCGATTTCAACCTGGAGCCAAGCAGGCCAGAGCCCTTCGGCTGCGGGAAGATGGCATACAACGCTATTTGGGTGGCTTCTCAAACACCCACAACCCGCAGAAACGAAAGGAATCAAAACGGTTGCTGACGAAAAGCCGGGGGAAGTTCCTGGGATCGACTGCGAAAGCACATGCTGGCGAAAATCAGAACGCGGACCATGCAGTTGATAGAACAACTCCCTGCTCGCTATCCACAAGTAGGTTTGGTCCAAAGTGGTGGACCCCCCACATTTGTGCGTGGGCTTGTTTTTGGTGTTCAAAATCAAAGAATCCAACAAGGTAGCCCGAAGACATCCCAAACCCTAAAAACAATCCACCAAACACAGCATCCCAAAGATGACCCACAAACAAAGCATTCCCAAAGACATGCTGAAAAGCATATCCAAAGACATCCCCACAAGCGCCCCAAAAGTAACCTAAAAACCATCCTTAAAGACATCTCCTGAGACATCCCCAAAACGTTCTGAAATCTCTTTGAACGACCCCCAAGGCCCAAAGCAACTCTCAACGATACACTCCCCAATCGACAGTTTCCGAGACAGCCCATAGTCATCTTCCCTGACCTGCCCCGGAAGACACCCCCAATGGCACACGTCAAAAGAAGACCCCAAATCGAGATGCCGCCAATGACATCCCCAATATCAAGACCAGCGACTTCGCCCAAGACAACTGCAAAGACAGACCCAAAGACACCCCTAAGGCATCCCAAAGACATCCCCCTAAAGCCATCACCCCAAGACCCCTTCCAAAGACGTCCCCCAAAATTACTCCCAAAGACACTCACCCGGGACAACGGAGAGACATCCAAAGCAGCCCCTGCAACAGACAACCTGGTGCAACACATCCCCAAAGTTTCCCCCAAAATACATCCTCCTGAGGCAGTTCGCCCAGACACCTTCCAAAGAAATCCCCATGATCAAAGGCTTCACCAAGACAACCCCAAAGACAGACTGCCACTCGTGGGTCACATGATCTGGTCATCGAATTGCTCCCGCGAAATCCGCGCTTTGGGCTGTAAAGCAAAGTGCGCCTGTCATCACAAGGGAATGCTCAAGCTGTTGCGCCTGCCAGGGATTCCAACTTTGACACGTTTCCGCGCGTGTCGAACATCAACCCGGGACAGAAGCGCCGGAATGATTTCGACCGACTTAGACCTAGCCCACCAAAGCCAGCCAATCTTACAACATGGCCAAGGAAAATGACACTCGACCAAACGAATGTGCGCCCCTGCCAAGCAAGACACCTCAAAAACACAACGCCTGCAACGCAACCTTCCGAAACAATGCGTTCGCAGGGAAACGGCAGGCAACGTCGCAAAAGCTAAATTCATGCACCGCTGCGATGAAATGACACTTTGCAAGTCCCAAACATCGCGATGCATTCTGAGCGAACGTTTGCCAATGCCTTCGACCGCTTGTGGGCACACCGACGCCTCTGGAGAAAACATGCTGACCCCCAGACCCCCTTTCTCGAATGGGAACTCTTCCGCTTCGCGTTCGGGGAAAAACGCGCCTGCTGTTGAAGTGGTTTGGACACGGGCCAAGAAGACAAGGCGCAACTCCTGCTATCAGGGCGAAGAAACTGTTTTGACTGATGTGCAGAATTCTGGGCGGTTGATCTGCGCAGCTCTTGTGTCTGGCCCCTTCTGCATCACTGAGTGGCAGCTTGGCGTTAAAGGCACAAATGCCACACAACGAGCTGAAGTCGATCAGCTCCGGATATCTCTCACCCCACGCCCCGCGAGGCAAGTCGGCTGCCGCACACCTCACGCCATGTCGCAGTTGGCTGCAGCTGTCCTTCCCGCTTCCCGCAGATCAAGGCCTGCAACTCGTCGTGGATCCGTGGCTTCGGTGGGGTCAGTCAGAGAGCAGAAATGCCAAGGGCCTCAATCGCACTAAAGGCAGTGAAAGAAACAGGCTGAACGAGTTCAATTGGCCCGGAAATTCCCAACAGCCTCATGTGATAGAACAAGCTGCGCAACGTTTGACAATGTACACAAGCATGGCCGCGTTTTAGTGACGCAGCGCTGCTGCTGTTGCTTGCTTGCTTGCTTGCTTGCTTGCTTGCTTGCTTGCTTGCTTGCTTGCTTGCTTGCTTGCTTGCTTGCTTGCTTGCTTGCTTGCTTGCTTGTTTGCCTGCTTGACTGCCTGCCTGCTTGCTTGCTTGCGTGTCTGTTTGCTTGCTTGCTTGCTTGTTTCGTTTGTGCCCAGAACAGCTTAGCTGCTGGGATTCTCAACTCGTGCAAAGGATTGCTCCCTGAGACAGCTTGCGCTTGGTACCCCCTGCTATCTCTCCTCTCCACTGGTCTCCCCGCTTGTCTCCCCGCGTGTCTCCCTGCTTGTGCTTGGTGATGCTTGGTGACTTGGACCTTGTGACGGCTCGTCTCCGACTTGGACGTTGTCACAGCTTGTCACCTCACATGTCTCCCCACTTGTATCCCTGCTTGCTGACTCGGACCTTATCTTCCCACTTTCCGTGCTTGCCCTTGCTCACCTCCCCACTTGTCTCTTTGCTTGCGCTTGCTGGTGTTGCAGCTGGTCTCCTCACTTGTCTCCACACTATCTCCCCGCTTGTGCTTGGGGACTCGCGCGCATACCCGGCGCCTCCTTTTCTTTCATTGCAGTTATTTGGGACATTGGAAAACAAAGCTGCGACAGAACTTGACGACAACAGTTGGTTTCGCAGTTGGTTGTTCCTGGCTCTTTGCGCCCCATTCAGGCGCGGCAATGCCTTGCCATTGGCTTGCCTGCTTGCTTGCTCGCCCACTTGCTCGCTCGCTTGCTGGCTCGCTTGCTTGTTTGCTTCCCTGTTTGTTTGCTTGCTTGCGTCTTTGTTTGTTTGTTGGTTGCCTGGGTTGTTGCTGTTGCTGTTTCTCTTGCTGTTGCTCTTGCTCTTGCCCTTGTGCGTGTGTTTGTGGTCGGTGTCGTCGTCGTCGTCGTGGTCGTCGTCGTCGCCGCCGCCGCCGCTGCTGCTGCTGTTGCTGTCGTCGTCGTTGCTGCTGTTGCTGCTGCTGCTGCCGCCGCCGCTGCTGCTGCTACGCATCTCGAAGGCCCTTTCTCTTGAGGCAACAGTAACTGCATACAAAGAACACTGTAGGCTATCAAATGGACCCGGCCCCTCCATGTCAAGAAACAATGCCCCGCGAGCACTTTCCTGGAACAAACCCTCACCCTTGAAAGCGCGCTTCGTTCCCACGCAAAGCCATCAACCCAATGGAAAAGCAATGAACACACCGCGCCAATGTGCAGGAATGCTCTCTGGGAAGCTCGAACAGGAACTCACCGGAACAAGTAGAATTGGCCATAGTTTCCCCCCAAGCGTGGAGCCAATCCAACATGGAACAAGTGCATCCAATCTGGGCAAACTATAATACAGTGCTTCAGCTTGGGCCAATTGGTTGCCGTAACGCCCCATCTGCAATCAGGTGTTTCACATTTGGTGGGTCCAATTTGGAAATCCGAGAAAAGCGAAGTCCAAAGTCGGTTGCTTTCTGCTCCCCTGCTAAAAGTTTAACTTTTAGTGGTTTAATGGACAACCCATTAGGTGGCAAAAAGTTAAAGTCCTAACATCCAAGCAAAATGCACCAAATAATCATTGGCATGTGAGAAAAACAAACTTTGCCTTTTGAGTGAGGCGGGAACCAAAGAGTTACCAAAGAGTTCTCTTCGTTCGCCCGGCTGGCCGGGCAAAAAGATTTCGGTGCCAGGCCGCCAGCTGCTCACTGCGCCGCTTTTCTCGCCAGCCAACAGCTCCCCTCGAACCTTGGAAGCTCAACGCCGACTTTGCTCTGGGATTTGAACCCAGCATCGGACCTCACATATCATTTTGGAGTTGAAACAAAAACAAACCTGAAAAAGGTCAAACATGCAGACACACGCTTTTCAAGTTCAGAGAAACACGCTTCTTTGTTGCTTCTTTACTGGCCAGCAAACAGAGCACTGTGTGCGTGTGTGCGCGCGTGCTTGTGTGTGTGTGTGTGTGTGTGTGTGCGTGCGTGCGTGCGTGCGTGTGTGTGTGTGTGTGTGGTGGGTGGGTGGGTGGGTGGGTGGGTGGGTGCGTGCGTGCGTGTGCGTGCGTGCGTGCGTGCGTGCGTGCGTGCGTGCGTGCGTGCGTGCGTGCGTGCGTGCGTGGCGTGCGTGTGCGTGCGTGCGTGCGTGCGTGCGTGCGTGCGTGCGTGCGTGCGTGCGTGCGTGCGTTGCGTGCGCGCGCTGCGTGTGTGTGTGTGTGTGTGTGTGTGTGTGTGTGTGTGTGTGTGTGTGTGTGTGTGTGTGTGTGTGTGTGTGTGTGTGTGTGTGTGTGTGTGTGTGTGTGTGTGTGTGTGTGTGTGTGTGTGTGGTGTGGGGGGGTGCGTGCGTGCGTGCGTGCGTGCGTGCGTGCGTGCGTGCGTGCGTGCGTGCGTGCGTGCGTGCGTGCGTGCGTGCGTGGGTGTGTGTGTGTGTGTGTCTGTGTGTCTGTGTGTCTGTGTGTCTGTGTGTCTGTGTGTCTGTGTGTCTGTGTGTCTGTGTGTCTGTGCGTCTGTGTGTCTGTGCGTCGCGCATGTGCGTATGTGCGTATGTGCGTATGTGCGTATGTGTGTATGTATGTGTGTATGTGTGTATGTGTGTATGTTTGTATGTGTGTATGTATGTATGGATGTATGCATGTATGGATGTATGCATGTATAAATGTATGGATGTATGGATGTATGTATGTATGTATGCATGCATGTACGTATGTATGTATGTATGTGTGTATGTGTGCATGTGTGTATGTGTGTATGTGTGTATGTGTGTATGTGTTTGTTTTCGTCTGTGGCCGGCGCATACTTTTTGGCCAGGCTTTGAAGCTTGCTTGCGCGCGTGCATGCTGTACGTGCCTGCCGGTTCGTTGGATATTTACCAAACTAGAGGACCGCATGTGTTGGATGGTTTTATGCCCACATGTTTGCAAACCATTTTCCATGTTTGGACACCTTCCGGGAGAACAAGCAAACCGTGTTCTGGCCCACCGACCCAAATTCAGAGTGGCGAGGACATCTATGCTCCCCCCAACCCCCCCCTCTCCCAAAAACAGAAGAAGAGCCTCACAGCTGCCCTTCTCATGCAATTTTGCAAGGGTAGGTACAAGGGTGGGTAGTTGAGTGCCCCTTGCGGGTTACGGAACCCTCCCACCCCCAATCCCCCCCCCACTTGCGGAACCTGTTTAAAAGTCCTTAGTCCTTATTTTCAGAAACCCTCCCACCCCCTGGCCAACCCACCCCTCCCCCAAGTTGTTCGGGCTAAGGAACCCTCCCACCCTCTCTGGACCACCCCCTCCCCCCCAATCCCCCCACTCCGAGGCGCCAGGTTCAGCGCCAAGGCGTTCACCGCGCTGCCGAGCCGCACCGTCCGCCGCGGCCGCCGCGCCTCCAAGTCCCAGAGCACCAGCTCCCCGCTGCCTCGGGGACCACTCGAGCGGACGGCGCCACGAAGATCCGACGGGAAACGGAGGAACTTGTGGATGGGGCTCGGTGGGTGGGTGGGTGGGTGGGTGGGTGGGTGGGAGGGAAGCGGTGGAGTAAGGAAAATCATGTACGACCTTGCATAGTCTGGTTGCCCAATGAAGGGGTAACTGGATCCACTGCGATAGATGTATTGCTACCAAGCTGTTCCGACAAACTGATTCCAGGGGCAAACCCCAAGATGTGCCTTGGCGCGGAACCATGGATGGGTTCTACTTGTATATGAACATCAACCTTAAACTGAAACCAGTCTACGTTCAACCAAACTGACCTGGAAAGGAGAACTATGGATCCAACTTGAAGCATAAATGTTGGAGGAGTTCCCCAAACGGGCAATCGAAACATGGTATGAAACCAGCTCCTGACTGAATTTCACAGCCCAAAAGTCGGGTAAGTTTGTCCATACCCAGCCCTGAAGATGGGTGGCTGACACGCCGGCAAGCTTTCTGAGGGTTCAACCCAGAGTGCCTGGGAAAATTGGGCCTGATGTATACCTCACATACAATGTCTAAATCAATGGCCGGTGTATGTCAGGGGCTACTTCAGGGCTACGTGGTTGAGCCCTTACACACCTGCAAGACGCAGGTCGACACGAAACCGCAGATTGCTCCAGTCGCAGACCGAGGTCCTCACTATGAACGGCTCCACTCTAACATGGGCTTGCATCCCCGAACCAACTGGGGGTCAATCCTCCCTTGGCAGGTTAGCAAAAGGCGTGCAACTCCCCCTCTCCGCGAAACATGATCACAACCAAGGATTCCAAAAGCAAAAGTAACAAGGGTGAAGACTCCCGGATGATCACAGCTGGGCAAGCTCTTGTATTCACACCCGAAGTGACCGACTGCAAGGAATCTGCATCTTCGTGGATAAGGTCACAAGAAAAAGACCCTCTGCAAGGTAGCCACACTTTGCTCGGGTCAGCCAGCGCTTCCAGTCACCACTGTGATATAGTAGGCAACCATGCAAGGGAAACCACGATTCAAACAAGTTCAAAGCACCAGCTGGTTACTGAGGTTGAAACCTCCAACCGGTTACCTATAGTGGCTCGGAGGTATGTCATTTTGCTTGGGAGTGTTGGCCCAAAGGCAAAGCAAAGCCTTTCACTCTTGCCCTTTAAGGGGATCGCAAAACGCTTCATTCCAACCCCCCCTCTGGTCTTGGTTTCCCAACCTGAAACAGGGCAACCGCTCCAAAAAAAAGCCACAATCTGGGCACTCTCCCCCAAGACTAACATGGAAGCTCCCAGGACCCCTTTGGGAAGACTTGGTTCCATTCACAGGATCGGCAAAACTGGGAGCTTCCGGCTGTTAGTCTGAGGGAGTGTATACCCTTGGAAGGGGAGATTCGCCCCAAAAAGGGGGAGCCCCACGTCTGGATCAGAGCCGCGGAGTCCCAGCGCCACCACCGGCGCCGATGGCAGAAATGCGATGGACAGCACCGGGTGGTCGCAGACCTGAGACCTGAGAGATCCGTGCAAGAAAACCCGCGTCTCACGGGCGTCTCGATGGGCGGAACATGGAGTGGCCTATCCTATAGAATTTCAAATAAGAAAGCCACTAGGGCACCCTTTTTTCGCAACCAAAGGGTAAAGGATTGCCTTTGAACACCCCAGTTTTTTATATGGTTTGCTATCCTGCAACTGAACATGCGTAGACTATAGTTTTAAGTTTAACTGTTGGAAGCAGGTGTCGTTATTGGAGTGGTCTCAAAACAGGAACCAAGGGGGACCTCCTGAGCACTGGGTTTTTGCCACGTGAAACACGGATTTCCAAGCGATGTTGAAATCCAGTTCAATCACAAGAGCGTTCCATTCCTTGCATAGTGCAATTTTGATGAGAAATGGTCGTGGAATTGGTCCCGTAGAACGGCTGATCTCGATTCAAATTTAAGTTTCCATTTAAACACCAACCAGAAGGGTCTTTGCCAGTTGCTGTTGTTTTTGCACGGACTCTTGAGGCTCCGACAAGCTCTTGTTGCCTTGTCTTTTTTTGCCAACCATACGTTTGACCACCGTGTTGATTCCCAGGTCGTTTGTTGATGTTTTTTGACAACCATTTTGAACATGTTGGAATCACTGCTTCGTATACATCGTGGTTCAAGAACTGTGAATTCCCAGGTTCTGCTTTTTGGCCACCAGATTCACTAATATGCCTGAAGTTTAATTACAGCTGCTTAAACATCCTCGTGTACTTCCCCCTTTCAATTGGTCCGCGGATGGTTGGATGACTCCTTGGTTGCGGAACTTCGCTGACTCTTTCTATGCTACTAGTTCCTAGAGCGATACCAGAGCGAGTCACTTTCAAATGGGTTCTCCCGGATTTAAGTGAAAACTTAAAAGGAGTGCTTCCCTCCAAAGGTGATGCGCATTCCCTATTACTAGGAGTTTAGCTGATTTCTCGCGGGCTCAAAATTGAGCCACTAGGTCATGAGGTATTGCAAATACGAGGGACTCCAAAGTTTCCCTTCCCCCCCGCCCCCTCCCCCTAGCTTGGGGTGCTGAATAAGCCTTGTCAGGCAAGATAATAGTCAGCACGTAGCATCTTCATGGTTCAAGATGATTCTCCGGCAGCAATTAGGTTCTACGAATGTCCCACATGTTGCCAATAGCAAACGCCACCAGCTCGCTGGTTGCCTGCCTAAGGTTCCTTGCGAAAATGATGAGGGAACTATTGAACAAAGCGCCGCCACGCCCCACGATTTTGCCATGCGTCAGTGGGGATGATGGAGCAGTCGGACCAAGAATGATGTTTGAACTGTCGAAAATGCACGCCAGAATTGAATGGTGCCGATCCCACTCTGACTTCACAAGAGAATAACTACCATCCAACTTAAATCCGAGCAACTGTTCGAGGCCAGCAGGGCCGCGCAAACAGAAGCAGCCAAAGTTCTCCTTGAAGTTGCACACGCTGTAGGCAAAGCGCCCCTTTGTCCAGGACCCACAGCCCGGGACCCGCTTTATCAATGCCACCCTTAGGCAAGGGAAACTCTTTGAAAATGAAACACGCTTGCCTTTAAAGAGTCCAAGTCGCATTTTTACCCTGATTAAAGGGAGCGCCACAGAACGTGGCGGTCTCCAATTTGGGACACATTGCCGTTGCTCATATATATATATATATATGTGCATAAATCTGTGCCCTGAAACGAAGCATGGTGGCTTGGACATGGGTTTGCCTTTCAGCCAGTCTGAACCCATGTACATATAAATATACAGCGAATATATATAGAGATATGATGTATATGCACACACACACACACACTCTGACACGCGTGTTTTCGATCGCGCAGCCCTCACGGGCAGCCTTCTCAGGCCTGCTTTGGGGCCGCTTTGGGAGTTTTCGCCTGCCTTCAGCGTGGATGGGGTGGGGTTAAGTGCCGCGAGTCAATGGTTTTGCACCCACTTGAAATATTCAAACCCGGATAATGATCGCCGAAAACGTTTGGGTGAGGCCGCGAAAACATCCACAAGGCTCCAAAGGGACGGCAATAGGCGCAACTTGATGCTGCGCCAGGAGCTCCCTGATATGAAGCACGGTCATCTTGACAAACAGGGCTTCCGGTGGACCTGCTCCGCGCAGCGTTTAAATACACATACGCTCATGTAAATATGAAAGTATACATAAAACAGACATAGGCTTACATAGGCATGACGTTTTGAGGCCATGCGAGGAGTTATAAAAAGGTTTGGCGCAGGTATCTGACGGGAAAACAGAGCTTGACGCGTACGCAGCTCCAGCTGGCAAGTCGCAACTCTTCAGGGCGCGAGTTCTAGTAGTAGCACGATGTAGCGCAGAACAACAAAGTGCATTTCCACAGCTCCAGCCCGAAAGTTGCAACTGTTCAGCGCACGCCGGGTCACGACAGAAAAGGGCATGTAACGACTATGTAACGAAGTATATAACGAGGTATGACACAAAAGGAGAGCTGTTCTGTTGAAACTATTTCTGAAGGACAAGCTCTCTGCAAGTTGACTCTGCACAGGTATGCCCTGCAGGCACCCTTGGGAAATCAGTCTGGGTGTTGGGTTTGCGACAGGAGGGCATGCACCGTGAGGTATATGATGATGCTATGCACGACCAGCAGGTCTTGCTACAAAGGGCCAAGGCTCTGTTGCATACCCCCACCAAAAAACACACACACATACATATACAATCATATATATGCGTATATATATATGTATATATTTATACTCCCCTTATTAAAAGGAGATGGGAGCCATTCAGACCAGCCGGCTTGTGGGGCTGTTCATCAACCGACAGAAAAACAAAAAAAACCGTCCGCCTCATTTGCAGCGGACAGGCACCAAGGCAGCTGGCCGCTGTCCACCTGAAATTCCTTCGGCGCTTTTGCTCGAGTTCCTTGGGTTCCCGGCGGCAAACCCAAAGGGACACCGAAATCCATGGGGTCACCAAACATGACACCCATATAAGGGTGTCTTTTTTGGGGAGGACCCCACAAAATGGGTGGTTTTCCTGTTTGTTTCCACAAAAAGGGTGACCCCGCATCAAGGACTGCTTGAAGATAGAGAGCAACAGCAGTGCGCACATATTTTTGATGTTGATCAGGTGTTCCATGGTCGTTGGGAAATAAACATGGCTGCCATGGCAGAGCAAGACTCGGAGTTGGAGCCTTGGATTCTGTCGAAGCATCCGTTCGAAGCGAAACCAAAAATAAACAAAGCCGGATTGAGCTTGGGGTAGAATTCTTGTATTGCTTTGAAGGAAAACCAAACGGAAGCCCTAGCCTCTAGCGACACGCCTCTGAATGTCACAAGGCTGACACATTGGGCAGGACAAATCGGGGTCACACGGTGAGTACACCTTTCAGGGTTTTTTGTGAAGCTCGCATTCATCCAGAGGCCCGCACTAATCAGGGGAGGTTCCGGTTTAGTATGAGCATGGACGAATTCGGCTCCTCTGATTCGGATCCTCCGGATTCCCAAGTTGACACCATTACGCCAAAACGCCAGGCAACCGTTCCCAGGCCGATGAGTCGGGTATCGTGCCGCATGGCTGGCAGCCAGCAAATCCCCCTTCATAGATATTGGCCGTTGCTCTGAAATGAATAATCAACACCTGGTATTCAAGAGGCCTACCCAAAACCGAGTAAACGATCAAAAGGGTTCAGTGGTGGCAAGGGGAGTCTTCCCTTCAACGTGAGGTTGGCCCCTCAAACTTAATCTTAATTTCCTTCAAACTCGGTCCCCACCCATAGCCCACAACACAGCAGCGCCCTACGACTGCGTCGGCTTCTGCCCATGTCCAAAATCCCAAGTCCAACAAGTATGTTCATCGGGGGGGTATATCCGACGAACAGGCACCAATTCATTTTTTGTTGGTTGACCTTGAAGCGACATCCCTTGTGAGTCGATTTGTTGGTTGATTCTTGTTGGTCGTGTTTGTCTGATTTCAAAGAGAAACGAAACCCTTCCCCTTAAAATACAGAAAGAGGTAGCTTCCACTGAAGAGGCCACACTTTCCCCGTGCTCCTGCAGCTTTTCCCCGTTCTCCGGGTGCCAGGTGCAGATGCTGCGGCTGCGGTCCGCTGACAAGATCAGGCCTAGCTCCGCAAAGATTCTACGTGAGCTTTTTCTTTTGGAGGGTACCCTTCTCTGGTGTAGCACCAGTTCTTAGCTTTCAGCTGGTGAGTGGGGAACCACTCACATTTTCAACCCAAACAATGACAGGTTCATGGTTAAGTTGTGCCTTGTAAGGGTCCTGATATCCCGGACTCTGGGCCCTCCAGACAATTAGCTTAGGGTCCTGACGCATTGTAAACTCTCACACTGCGCCAATCTGCGCTTCGATTGCAAGCGGCCGGCCCACGGTCCAAGAGGTGACCGTCTATGGGCGATATTTCTCGTCCGGGTGCCTCTGACGACCGTCCATGGAACTCATCTTACTCGTGTTTTGGAGCTGGGACCGTTTCGGGTTTGCATTCGACCCGAAACCAAAGGACAACCGAAAGCCTCCTGGAAGATCTGTTCCTCGATTATCACCCACAATGCTCAGCCGGATAATAACTCTCAGGTCGCTTTTGCTCAAGCCAGAAGATTCCGACAAATTATGTGGGGGGAGTGAGTGCTTTCACCCGGCTTAGATCTGTCAGCGCGACTTCCCGACCGTCACGAGCACTGGTTTAGCCGGGGCTGTTGTTTTGCGCTGGCTTTTCTTTGGGCAAACATCCCGAGCTTCACCACCAGGTTGGGCTGGAGGCTTTCCAGCACCACTGGGCATCGCCAACAACCCATCCGAATTATACCAGTCACCAGCTGCCACCAACTTACCCCTTAAAACTCCAAGCCCTGGGGAAGTTAATCTTTTACAGACATATAGCCCATGTTACCCCCAAAAAGTTGAAAAGTTGTGTTTTAAAGAGGTAAGCCAAACCAGAGCCAATATGCAGTTTCAGGTCCTTGCGAGGCTGGTGATGGGGATGCTGCCAAGCAACCACCACCAACCAACCGACCGACCGACCGAGCAAACCAAACACAGCCAAGCCAAACCAAGCTAAGCCAACCAGCGAGAGAACCATACCTAAGAAAATAACAGCCCTAGTGCAAAACAGGCACCTCATCCGTCCTGGATATTGAGCAAACACAAGACAACAAGCTCAAGGCAAGGGCATTGTTTTCCTTTAACCCCAACAACAACACCTCGGGCACAACGTGTTTTTTCCTTCTTCTTTTTTTTACGGGAATCCTCTGAAGCGGGTGGTTTGCCTGTTTTGTTAAAGCCATCCAAATAACACACATGTCCTCGTTTCACTGAGGCGCCCTGGTGGTAGAGCAGAGACGTCACCGCGCCAGCGCACTGCAGCTTCCTGTGCTGCTCCAGGGTGTCCGGGTTCCACAGGACCACCTGAAAACCAACGCGGCACTGGTCAGTCAAAAAGGCATTTGATATCAGCCGCGATTTCACTAAGGCTGCTTTGTTTTGAGTGTTTTCACTAAGATACCGTGGTTTCGCTGAGTAAGCCTGCACTTTTTTTTGTGCTTTACCAATTCCATTGAAAACCAGGGAAAGCAACAACATTCGGCTTCCCTCCAATTGGTGGTTTGGTGGGTAAGGACAAGTGCTCATGTACCCTCTACAAAAGCTGCCCGCCTCCCATCAATCCAAACCATCAATTAGGGTTTACCTGAAAACATTTTCAGGATGCAAAACACCTCCCGAAACATCACAGAATGTCATCCGAAACATTCACAGCCACATCACAGACACATTCACAGAATGCGATTCCCCACGGGTTTTCGGCAAACGATTTAGAACTAGGTCCTCCAGTAGAGAGGTTAGAATAAGGGTACCAACTTTTTTCTGTTCTGTCTCTTTTAGTACGGGAACCCTCCCAACCAAAAAAGGGGTTTAAAAGGGCACCTAGCTGGGCGACCAGGAACTCTCCTCCCTGAACCTGGACCTTTGGACAGAGGTTCACCATTTGGACCTTGACTGTTAGGGTCAAGCTCCACCTGGTTTGATCTCCAAAAACCAGGAAAGGGTAATACAAGTTGGCATCTAGCTGGCGGACCTGGCTCATTTTTTTTCCCGAAAGCATGGCGAAGGGTTCTTCCGCTGGGTTCACTTGAATTGTTCTCATGAGAGTCATTACAAGGTGTCATTGCAAGGAATCATCATCATGAAAGTCAATGCAAGGAGTCATTGCAAGGAGTCATTGCAAGGAGTCATTGCAAGGAGTCATTGCAAGGAGTCATTGCAAGGAGTCATTGCAAGGAGTCATTGCAAGGAGTCATTGCAAGGAGTCATGGCAAGGATTGCAACTTGCACTTGACTCCTTGCACTTGCAACTTGCACTTGACTCCTTGCACTTGCAACTTGACTCCATGCACTTGCAACTTGCACTTGACTCCATGCACTTGGCTCCTTGCACTTGGCTCCTTGCACTTGCAACTTGCACTTAACTCCGTGCACTTGCGACTTGCACTTGACTCCATGCACTTGGCTCCTTGCAACTTGCAATGGCTCTCATGACTCCTTGCAATGACTCCTTGCAATGACTCCTTGCAATGACTCCTTGCAATGACTCCTTGCAATGACTCCTTGCAATGACTCCTTGCCATGACTCCTTGCAATGACTCCTTGCAATGACTCCTTGCAATGACTCCTTGCAATGACTCCTTGCAATGAGTCAAGTGCAAGTTGCAAGTGCAAGGAGTCAAGTGCAATTGACTTGCGAGGAGTTAAAATCTCTTCTTAGGGCGGCGGGGTAGTGCCGACGACACTACACGAAAATCGACCCTCTGCGGGGATCGGCGTGGTCGAGGTGCAAAAACCCATGGTTTTTTGCGATTTCTAAATCCCGCGCGACCCTCTGCGGGGATCGGCGTGGTCGAGGTGCAAAAACCATGGTTTTTTGCGATTTCCAAATGCCCGCGCGACCCTCTGCGGGGATCGGCGTGGTCGAGGTGCAAAAACCCATGTTTTTTGCGATTTCTGTGCTCGCGCGACCCTCTGCGGGGATCGGCGTGGTCGAGGTGCAAAAACCCATGGTTTTTTGCGATTTCTAACCTGCTCGCGCGACCCTCTGCGGGGATCGGCGTGGTCGAGGTGCAAAAACCCATGGTTTTTTGCGATTTCTGCGGTGCTCGCGCGACCCTCTGCGGGGATCGGCGTGGTCGAGGTGCAAAAACTCAAGGTTTTTTTTGCGACTTTTGTTGTTCGAACTGGTCCTCGGGAGTTGTCTCGTGGTTCGCGCGCCTGCTCCCGGAACCGGCGGGTCGCGGGTTCGATTCCTCCCTGGTCCGCGGGCGGGCGTCGCAAGATGCAACTTGCATTTTAAAGCAACTTGCGCAGAGCAACTTGCGCAGAGCAAGTTGCACAGAGCAACTTGCGCAGACCAACTTGCACCGACCAGTTTGCGCAGAGCGCCTTGCCTAGAGCAACTTGCGCAGAGCAACTTACGCAGAGCAACTTGCACAGAGCAACTTGCACAGAGCAGCTTGCACAGAGCAACTTGCAGGGAGCGCAATTTGCACAGAGCAACTTGCAGGGAGCCACTTGCAGGGACCAACTTGCCGGAGCAACTTGCGCGGAGCAACTTGCGCAGAGCAACTTGCACAGTGCAACTTGCGTAGAGCAACTTGCGCAGACCAACTTGCACCGACCAGTTTGCGCAGAGCACCTTGCCTGGTGCTGTCTCGCGCTTGCTTCACGAAGTGTAGGGAAAAAGAACGCATCCTGCAGCGTTGGGCCGACCTCGCTTGCGATGTTCTGCTTTCGGGCCAACCGTGGTCTAGTTCTTCCGGTGGTTTGCTGGTTCAGGGGTTCTCATTCACCCTCAAAAGCCAGAAGTTCAATCCAAAGCAGCGCTACCTGAAACATATGGCCATGGGTCAAAATCCCGGTTAGCCCCCAGTCAACATCCCAGTCCAACCACTAACATAGGTTCTAAAATGGGTGGTGAATTCACCCAATCCAACCAAAATGGGATCCCAAAACGGTTTTGACAACCACAGTCATCTTCATTCAGGCCAGCAAAGAATCCTCCATTGGGCCACGGCACTCGCCCAGTGGAGCTGCGTTGGTCAAAGCTGCCGTCCCCGGTGATGGCCGCATGCAGCGCAGGGACGAAGATGAGACACGTCACCTCAGATCAACCCGCCCAAAGGTGACTCAAACGGGGGTCGCTTGATGTTCATAGAAACCAGCTGCAGGAAATTCTACAGGAAACTAGCCAAATTCCCACCAAAAGCAGGGGGGTTCCTGCAGAACTTCCTGTAGTTGTTGTCTTTTTCGATGCCAAGAGGAAAACACTTGATTCTTGACAACCCGGATTGTAATTCAACAGGGAAAAAATCACCCCCCCCCAAACAGTCCATTGACTCTTGGCTCTATCTTGATAATCTACTATTAATGGTTGTTGCTTGATGAGGATAGGGAAATATACAAGGATATCATGGCTTCCATGTACTAGGCAGAACCTCAAGCCAATAGGAATCGATCCGTTTTGGGCGCAGCTCACTTGGAAGTCAAGCCCCAAGTCAAAGGAGATCAATATTTAGAACTGTGTTGATATATACATATATATATATACTATTATTATATTACAAACATATACATAAACATTTTATTGTCCTCTTGTTGGTCTTCATTGGATTTCCAAATGACGTGATTCGTGAAGCCATTGTCTCGGAAACCCGGCAGGTTGAAAGTTCGAGTTACGGACGTCTTGCAAACTGGTTGCCTACTCTCTAACATGGAACCACGCAATGCGGCCTCCCCCCCTCCAAAAAAAAACGCTCCCCCTATGAGGCTGCGTTTGTGCCGTGTTAGTCTGCAGAAGAAATAAATGAAGGACCAACGGGACCAACGCATGAGAAAAGGGGTAAGGAAATAGTGTCACCAATTGAAAACGGCTACTTTGTTGAGAGAGTGGCTGCCCCCTGGAATACCAAAATCAATCGCTTTCTGTAATCTCACAGAGTGGAATTTCTATCGACTGCATCTTCAGGTTAAATTAAACTCCCTTGGTGTCACACAACATGTTCCAAAAACCAATGTCCAAGAACTTTGCGCCTCAGTCACCGCCGGTCTGATTAGGGTACAACCCTGAAAACAAGCCCTGAAAGCGCCAGGCGGCAAGCCCATCTTTTTTAGGGCACCTGATTGGTAGTGGAAAAAGCCAGGTAAAGCAACATACACTAGGTCAGAATCAGGTGTCGGGCGACTATAACAGGCAAACCAGCAAACCACCCAATTTTCAAGCTATGACAAAGAAAATCATGATGCTCATGATGGGTAACTTGTTTGACTGGGACTTTGGAGCTCCAGCAGGCGGCTGCTCCCTGGTATGGTGTGTGCGCTTTTGAGGCTACCCTTTTTGGGGGTTTGTTGAAAAGGACACCAAAAGGAACGCCAGCAATTTTGGTGGGTCCACCATTTTAAGACAGACCCCTATGTGGTTTGGCCCCTCTTGTTTGTAAGTTCCTTTGGAAATTGGTTGTTTCTCAGGGTTGCTTGCTTGTCTCCGTGGAAGCCTACGTAGTTGATGTTCTTCTCATTCCTATTGTCCGCATGAATTGTAGCATCGCCTTCGTGGTAGGGGCTTTTATGTCGAAAATGGCGTGGAGGGCAAGAACATCTCCGATGGGAACA